AAAAAAAAAAAAAGATAAGCTAATTTAATCGAGATCCTAAAAATTTACTTTAAGATATATTAATAGATTTTAATAGATTTTTTAATTAAGATTAATTAATAGATTTTTCATTTTTTAATATTATTCAATTTATGATCTCGATCTCCAAATAATATTAGCAAGTTGTAATAAAAAAACATTACTAAGAAGATTATTATTTTCGAAAACTCAAACAGTCGAAAGCCATTAATGAAAAAATCAATTTCATCAAAGAATAAAATAATAATTATTTGGAATAATAAGATCATTGTTGATTTTGATGATTTTTTAATTTTATGTTGTAAAAATCAACATTTTGAATAACTTTTTCCTTTGCATTTTCCTACCACTTTCGTTTTCGAAATATTTACAAAAAAAATTATTATTATATAAGAATAGAATTTTTTTTCGTATACATATGTAACTGCATGAGATTGTCACTTATTTTTTGTTAATATAAATAAATGACGATAGTAAATTAAGGCGTATAACAAATGAAATAGTCAAAAATCTATTTACTCATGGATTATGAATTAAAAATATCTCAAATATAATACCAAGTTTAGATATTTGTTTAGATTTGTAAAATAAAAATAAAATATAAAATAATTCTTAGGCGACCGAAATGATTGAAGTTACAATAAATATTAGCATCATTTCTGTTATCTTATAGTTGTAATTTCAATTTTATTGTTAATTTTAAGCCTACTATAGATCATAAAGACATATCAATTTATTACAATTTATTTATAGAAATAATAGATAAATGGAAACTATTGATTTATGCACATAGATGTATATATAAGAAAAATTCTATAAAATAGCAACAATTTTTTTTTTGCAAATATTTCGAAATCCAAGATTGAGCGATATGTGAGTAATATGCAAAAAAAAAAAAAAGTTCAAAATCTTGTCCTCTATAATATATCTAAAAATTATCAAAATCAATGAAAATCCGCTTGTTTCGAATAATTATTGATAAGAATGATGAATACACTGTTGTACAAGATAATGTTTCTATTTTTTTAAATATATCAATTGCAACAATAATTCGCTTAACAATTAATGGTAGTATAATTCTGGATATATGGATATCAACAATAATGGATTATAATTCTTAGTGTAAATTTTGCAATTTTTCATATTAAAAAAATCAAAAAAGTGAGTTCATTCTTGAGAAGGAGTTCATTTAAAAATTTTTTTAATATAATATTTTATATATTTTAATAATAGAGTTAGTGTTCCTCATAGGATGTTGTAATATTCATATAATATATATTTATATAAGATAGAATAAATACAGAAGATAAATGGTAATCTTATGCTTATGTACATACATGTATATATAAATAATCACAGATATATATTTATAGATAAAATTTTATGTAATAATAGCATTCTTTTTTTACAAATATTTATTAAAGTCAAATTGCCGGGTTTTATATAATATAAAAAATTAAAAATTTTGATTTCTCTAACATTTCCTAATGTATCTCTGTAGATAATATCGAGATGTCAAGAAATCATTGAAATGATTTGAATGAAGAAAAAAGATAATTTTTCTTAAACTTCATCCAAATGTTTAATTTTATTTAATCAATTATATTTGTATTTCTTCGATTTAAGGATTACTTCTCGTTGATGGAAATTTATGGACTGAACAAAGAAGATTCGTATTGAAGCATCTCCGTGATTTCGGCTTTGGTCGACAAAATATGATGTCAATAATAATAGAGGAGAGTCAATCACTCGTTGAATATATCAAAAAATTAATCAATGATGAGTATAATATTCAAATTAACAAATCTAAAATATATTATAATAATAATGAGTTTAATGATGGACAAATATATAAATTAGTTAAAAAAAACAAAAAGGATGAGACAAAATTAATAAACAATTACATAATCAATGAAAAAGAATTAAAAGCTTCAGATTTATACATGAATGCTAATGAATATATAAGAAATAATATGACTCAATCTCAACCTGGAACGATAATTTCAATGCATAACATTTTTGGAATCACGGTGCTTAATTCATTGTGGAAAATGTTAGCTGGTAAAAGGTTGTTCGTTTTCTATTATTTTAATATATTATTCAATTTAAATTCATTTCAATTTAAATTCATTAAAGAATTAAATAATTTTTTAATAGAATAATAAATTGATTTGACATATCAAATTCAGGTACAATATTGATGATAAGGAGTTAATTTATTTTCAACGGATTCTGTCAATAATTCTTAATGAAATTGATATGTTAGGCGCACCATTTAGTCATTTTCCCTTATTGAGATTTATTGCACCAGAAATATCTGGATACAAATCATTTGTAAAAATTCATGAAGAACTTTGGAAATTTTTCAAAGTAAGCTATTACTATCTATGTTAAATCAATTGAATAAAAGAAATTAAGTAATGTAATTATAGGATGAAGTGAATAATCATAAAAATACTTTTAATTCGGACTCACCTGGAAATTTAATAGATATATATCTAACTGTTTTGAATTCTGAAAATTATGGCAAAACATTTTCAGGTATCTAAACATTACAATATTTTAAAATTTAAGTTATGTCAATTGTACCTATACTGAGATGTTTCAGAGCCTCAATTGGTAGCCATTTGTGTGGATTTATTCATGGCAGGTTCAGAAACTACATCTAAAGTTCTTGGCTTTTGTTTCTTGTATTTAGTTCTGTTTCCACATGTCCAGAAGAAAGCACACGAAGAAATAGACAGAGTAATTGGACGCAATAAACTTCCAACTGCGGAAGATAAAGCAAAGTAAGTTAAAAAATTTGTAAATAGATTAATATTGTTAATTAATATCCTCTGCATATAATACTTATTTTATTTTAGAATGACATATATGAATGCTATTGTCTTAGAATCTTTAAGGATGTTTGTAGGCCGATCCTTGAATTTACCACATAGAGTACAAAAAGATACTACAATATTAGGTTACAAAATACCAAAAGTAAGTATTTAATAATAAAATATTGGATATAAAATAATTAAACTAAGAAATAATATAATTCACATTATTCTAGAATACAACAATTATAACAAATTTCAATGGAATATTAATGGATGAATCATGGGGTGATCCCGAAAACTTTCGACCAGAAAGATTCATAGATGAAAGTGGTAACATTGTTACACCATCTAAATTTCTTCCATTTAGTGCAGGTATACTAATATAGAATAGAATCAGTTTTATATAATTGGTTAATGTTTTAATATGATGTTTTATTATCATAGGAAAACATCGCTGTATGGGGGAAAATTTAGCAAAAACCAACATATTTGTTATAGCTACTACATTGTTGCAAGCATTCACATTTTCCGAAATACCCGGGGAGAAACCAACGATAGAACATTTTATTGATGGAACTACTATTAGTCCTAAGCCATACAGAGTAATTGTTTCGTTAAGAATATAATTATCTCCACAAATAGAATAATTTTTATAAAAAGATAATTAATTTTTAATTGATTTAATCTGTATGTATGCGTAATTATTATTAAAAAACTATTATAATTTCTTAATAATGTACAGTACTTACAGTTCTACTTAAAATTATATCTTAATGTTCAAAAAAATATATTTTATTTTTT